GTTTTGACAGATGAAGTCATGTGATGCCACTGGTGCATTGGTGCTTGTGGCGCGAATGATGAATTTCTCGAATGATCGGGGAAGTCCGAGATGCCCTCTTCGTTAGTATATAAACCTGGCAGAGAAAGCCAGCAGGGTTAATGAAGGGAGAGCACTAGTTACGTTGAGTTCTATGTAATTGATGATTCTGTTAGTTTCGAGCTAGTGAGCTGTAAAGTGTGTCTTGCACTCATCAAGAGCGAAGTTATCGAGATTGTGAATCGCTGTGATTTATAAAAGTTGTTAAGTTTAAAGTGACGAGAAACGTACTGATTGTGGAACGTTGTGAACTAAAAGTTTGTATCGAAGAAGAATAAAGTGGTTTAATCAAGAAAGGACTTGTATCGCTGAACATCCTCAGAAAGAATTTCTACTGAAACAAACAAACAAGCAGATACAATATAACACACCCTTCCTGAACTTGATCAACATTCAGGGACATCACACTATGTACAAATGTCAAACTGTCAAATATAGTTCTGATGTATTCTCTTCCACCATGACTATTTCAGCTGTGGTTGTCACATGTCTTGCTAATTTGTATATCCAAAATCTTTATAACATACTCAACCCTTTATAAGAAGTATGCAGGTAAAATGGAAATGAAAAATTCATTTTTTCATCCTAACCTACACCAAGTTACATATGAAACAAAAAAAAAAGATAAGATTTTCTAATTGAAACACACACACAACTTTATATTACCACTTATCCACAAGTAATGCTAAATTGGTATTTAATTATACATAATAGTTATGTAATCTCTCTTATAACACTGTGAATTCCAATCTTATACTACTAAGATCATAAACCTAAAACAATATTAGTATTTAGTGCAAACTCACTTTGAATACCAACTCTATATGGAGAGAATTTTAATGTTTTATATTAACTTCATGCTCTTTATGATGAAACTGGAAGTATGACCTGACCATAATAGTAACTTAAAAATCACAGATTACTGATGCCTTACTAGAGTGTGTGTGTATATATATATATATATATATTACCATTTTGAAAGCATAGATGGTGTTTTGAATACTGCTTCATATGTCACCACAATATCAAAAGGTTATATGTTATGCTCATCATGAGGAATGTATTATATATTAACACTTTTAAAGCACAGCTGTTGTTTCAAATATTGTTTTCTTTGTATGTCACCACAATATCAAAAGGTTACATGTAATAACTCAAACCAATAGATCTTATGCCAATGCCCTACAATGTCTCATAAGGTCATGACAAAAACAGTTTGTGGTAACAGTTCATAATACCTCATGAGGGTGTATTAAAAACCAGAAGTCTTAAGGTAAAAGATTATTTTTACAATATCTCACTAGGGTGTTATAAAAATCAGTCTTAAGATATGCTTTGTTTTTACAATATGTTATGAGGGTGTAATAAAATCAACAGTTTTAACTCTCTCAACACGGCCTCAATCAATTTGACCAACCACATGACCTCTTTGTACTCGTTTAAATAGATTTAATACTTCTAACTTTCAATAGAGTGTGTATATCTTCAACATGCTACCTGGTGAAACATTTTTATTATATTATTATTTATTTTATCTAATCTAATCTTTTACATGTTAGTTACTTTTATGATAATAAATAAAGAATAAACATGGAAAACAAGAAATAAAGTACTTACTTACTTACTTGTTTCTTGCTGTTGATTGTGGATGACACTAAACCCTACTTTTTTTATATTAATGGCAGTAATGCACTAAATAATTTTTATTCAATTAAATAATACACCAAACAATATAGAATAACAACATGCAAAAAGTAGACAATTTTTTTTAACTCTAAAAATTTTCCTGGTTTTCTAACTATGTGACAAGTGCCATTACAAATTCATCCAAGCTAGACCTTAGTTTTCCCATGAGAATAGAGCTTGTACTGTGAGTGAAATTGACAATATTCTATTAGGAACAGAACATTACACAATACATCATTTGACAGAAGAAAATCTTGGCTTTCTAGTAGTTATAGGTAATATATAATTAAATGTAAGATAGAACTATCAAAATATTGCGAAAGAGAGGATGTGACAGATGGGTGTGGCAGAAAAAGTCTGACTTTCTATTAGATAGCTCTGTAATCAAACAAAATTGAAGACTATAAAATTATGGTTTGTCTGAGCAAAAATGATTTTAAGGTGAGTAATTCACATTTAATTTTGTACTTTTTGGAGGGACAGTGGATAAAATAGAGAAAAGAAAACGCCTAGAGAAAATGTGTCACGTGTCACACTAGAGGAAATTCAGGATTTGTTTAATATTGCCTAGTAGAATTAAAAACTTCAAACTTATATACTATTAAAATATGGATTATTAACTAAAATTTTATGCTATACTAATTGGTATAACATAAACAAAAACGTTAATAAAATTTTGTATGTAAGATACAAATACCTTGTGTCATGCACAGTAAAGGGTACCCATGGCAATAGGGTAAAGGTAATGCTTTATTTTTACAGTATTTCATAAGGGTGTAATAAAAAACAAAAGTCTTACTGTAATGCTCTATGATAGGATATTTTCTGTGATATAAGTGTTGTACAAAAAAAAGTCTTGTTGTAATGCAAGGGTGTAACAGAAACCTACGACTTTCTTTAAAATAACCATATATTTTGAAATTTTGAGATGTAATATAAAGAAACTTAAAACTTCATGATGTTAGCTTTATTGAAAGGGATGATGTTAATTACAACAAATTACCTCCTCTTGTTGCTTTAAAAGTTGTTATTAACGTATTAGGTGCTCATTAATTTAAGTTTTCAATACTTTGTGATGCCTTCTAGGTAACATTCCAAAACTTTTTTTTGAACCTTCTAGTTACTGAATCAATTAATTGTGAATTCTCTAGATATGTGTGTTGTTCAGATAAATTCCACCAACATTTGTTTTATGTATACTAAAAGTATTCACAAGAAATTTTAGAATAACTCTGAAAACAAGAACTTTAGATAAGATAAAGTATTTCAAATATTAAAAAAATACCATATCCAAAGAAGACATTTTAAATTTTGTATGTTACCTGATTCACAGCATTTGTGGTAACAGTAGGACTAGCTGCTAGTGGGCTGGATGGTGGGGCTCTTGATCCCTGTACATCTAAATCATGACTTTCTCCAACTCCATTGTTACACCCAAGAACCTCCATAGAATGTCTGTACATACCTCTACTTTGGAGTGACCTCTGTGAAAGAGCAGACAATGAGTGTCGTTTCTCTCTGTGATGGCTAGAAGATCTATCTAGGGGAGAAGAGATGGGTGCAACATGTACAGACCCTAACAGACCTATAGTGACAGAAGCTGCATACTGAGACTGGGTTGGTGGAGAAATTGAAGCAGAGGAAGATGAACATGGAGTGCTTGGACTAGGTGATGAAGAGGCTGGAGAAGGAGTTGTAGAGGGACCCGAAAGAGATTCTTGATTCACAAATGCAAAAGTCCTTGTACCTTGAGAAAACAAATGGATTAATCTAACATTATGTAAAAACTTAAAACAAACAGAAATTATTCCTATGAATCCAATTATTTGGTAACAAAACGACTTATAAAAGGAAACTTCACCAAGTAAAACATCATTTAAGTAAAAAAATATAATAAAAAAAGTCAAATAATAAAAAACTATCTTATCGCAAAATAAAACTATTTGTATATGTAACCATGATAGTATACATACTATAACCATGAAAGTACTTATTGTACCTTCACAAAATTTTGCAAGCTTTCAGTAAACTTTAAGTCTTTTGTTAAAACAAAATCAGAATTTTTAAATCGGTATTTTTACTAAAACTTTCTGTTTGATTATACAGTGTCAGAGTTTTGACTGCTCTGAGGGCAAAGTGATTTTCATATTAAGATTAAGAATACTTTCTTCATCTGAAAATTTTCAAATTTTGTTTGCATAATCCATAAAATCTAAATAAATATCAAATGTTATTTTTTTTCAGAAATACTTTATATTTTATCTGTACTTTTTTCTACCCTAATTCTACACGAGGTTGATCAATTAGACTGACCTCATAATCACCCCAAAAAATTCAAAATAAATCTAAATTACACTTTTTTTTCTTTCAAATTGTAATATCAAACTTGATTTGTTTATCCTAAATAGCTTAAAGATCATAACAACATACAACTGTTTGTACATAAATTTTATTGTTTTATTGTCCTTTGAACCATGTCTAAGCTAATATTCCCCCCGAAAAAATTTTAAATTACTTGGCAAACATGCAGGTCATGTTACTCCATCTAACTACATAACATACAAGCTACTCACGAGATACTCGCAAAGCATACCAAGTGAAAATTTTTTTAATTATTATTATTTATTTTACCTAACCTAATCTTATCGAACCTAAAAAATTTCTAATTGTTACATTTTATAATAATAAACAAAGAATACACATGAAAAACAAGAAATATAATTCTTACCTGGGTGTCTTCTTCTTGCTGTCAACGACACTTAACCCTACTTTTTTAGACTAATGGTACAACTGCAATAGATTTTTTTATCTAACTAAATAATGCTAGATAGAACATAGAATAATAACATGCAAAAAAGTAGAATGTGCACCATAACTATCACAATTATACTGGTTTTCTAACTATAACATAACAATGTTTTGGAACAACATGGGACCTATTGGTCCATCTCGGCTGTCCCATCCTCTAAACTAAACTAAAACTATTAATATATGAATTTTTTTTTTAAATATTAGAGCTAGCCCTTCTCACTCATATACTTCTAAAGCTTTCTTTTAACCTCATTTAAATTTACTGCCTTCACAACATCCAAAAACAAACCATTCCAAAGGTCAACCACCCTGTTAGAAAAATAAAACTGTCTTAGATGAAGTGACTCTTTATTATAATTAAAACTCATTTGCCATATATTTGCCTAACTCACTAAATGACCTAAATCCTTTCGTAAATCAGCAGCATCCTCTTCTCAGCTAGCAACACCCAAGACCTTAATATATCGTCTGTAAATTTAAGTAATTTATTGACCATTCCTTCATCTGTGTCATGGATGTAAACCAAAGAAAGCAAAAGCCCTAAGACTGAGCCCTGAGGTAGCCCACTTGTAACATTAATCCAGTTTGACTGAACTCCATTCCAGATACACCAAATCTCCACCCTTACCCTCATCTACATAAGCAGCAACCATTTAAAAAAATGTTAAAAGATTTGTAAGGCAAGATTTTTCCTTTAGTGAAACCATGTTGACTATCCAATAACATTCTAAACTTTGTTAAATGGCTCTGCAAAGTATCTTTTATCAGACTTTCTGAAACTTTTCCCATAACTGATGTAAGACTAATGGGCATGATATTACTGGGACAATTTTTATCACCTCTCTTGAAAAAAAGGAGTTACATTAGCTAACTTCCAATCCTCTTGTTCCTGCCTACTATTCAAGGGCTGACAAAAACAGTAGCAAGTGGTTTACATATCAAATAATTAACTTTCTTCAAAACCCTTTAGGAAATATTATCAGGCCCAGTAGTCATATCATTCTTTAAACTTCCTATTTTTTTCTTAACAAGCTCAGAATTAATAAAGTCATCTTATTTGATCTTGTTTCCATCTATCAACTATTCAAGATGTGGAATACTGTTTAAATCTTTGTTAGTAAAAAACAAAGTTAGTAAATTTAATAACTCAAGAAATTCAGCTGTGGGAATGAAGGTGGACTTGGAAGTAAAACTGACAATTATCTGTCCAGAAAACAACATAATAATATAATTTGATAGATTGAAACTTTGGCTTTCTATTGGTTATAAATAATATTAAATGTCAGAAAGAGCTAATGGCAATTTGTGAAAGAGAGAATGTGGCAGATGGGCATGGCAGGAGGGGCCTCATTTTCTGGTTTATGGCTCTGAAACCAAATAAGATTGAAGACTATAAAAACAATGTTTTCCTTCAGCAATAACTTCATTATAATGAGTAATTTACTTCAAACTCTAAAGATCTCAGAGAAAAGGTAAATCAATTAAACAAAAAGGAAGACAGAGAGCAAATATTACAGTTCTCATACTAAGGGAGATTGAAATTTTTTATAAATTATTTTCATATAAATTAAGAACTTTAACTTTCAGTAATATTATTACAACAGCGGAAGTCAAGTGACGCTGGGAGCATGCACGCTGGAGTTTCAAAAAGGATCATGAATTATCAAGGAACCCTGCAAATGTCCGAGTGTTTGCCAGGTCCTCTCCTTTTTGGTATATAAGCCCGGAAAATAAATCCAGCGATAGATAGATATGCAGATAGATTGAAGAGATAG